ACTCCCAGAATTCATCAGCTTAGAAAACCAAACTCAGATAACTCTCCCCACACCTTGCCTCTGCCCACTTCCATGTATGAAAAGGGCTGTCAGTCAAGACGTCATTCCATGGGTTTTTACCTCTTAGTGAGGATTTTTAGGTGTATTCTACTGTTCAAATTTAATTCGGCAAATGAGAGGCCCACCACATGTCTTTCCTTAGACACATAAAGCGTGTGTAACGTGTTGTAATGCTGACATTGCTGCTGCACTGATTATCCTCCTGGAGGTTGTGAGAATGGTGGCAGAGAGGTGCAGATGTTAAGTCACTTCTTTTCCCCATGATGTAAACTTTTAAAAGGGCAAAAACGAGTGTTCCCACAGTGGGAACAGCTTTGCAGAACAGCACCACAGCACACCTGCCTCTGTTGGATTCTTCCATTAAATGTGCTTTTACTAAAACTAATTTCAATAAATTGATGTTTTAAAAACTTCTACTTAATGACCATGGTAGTGTTTAGCAGCAAAATTAGACAATAAAACAAGGTGATTCTTGTTCAGCCCACTGAGAGCAAGAGGAGGCATGACCAGTCCAGTAAACTAACCGGTGCATGGAAAGGACCTCAGGGGAATCCTGACCCATCAAAAATATGCTTAATTTTAATGATTTTTATCATACAGATATTTGTTTGTGATACCTAATCCAGCAGAGATGTGTTTTGCCTAAGTTGCTGTTGCATGAGGGAAAAACAGTAGGCAATTTCTTCAAGCACAAAAATTTGCAGAACTTAAAAATATTGTTTGCCGCAATTACCCCCAAGGGTGGTGAGAGCAGCAGAGTTGTGGATGTCGATTGGGGAACTGGACTAGAGAACTGGCTTTCTTCCCCTACCCAAAAGAGAAATGGCCAGATTACTCATCCATGCAGTCAGATTCTCTGCCTCAGCACCAAAGGTCTCAGCATTTCTGGTTCCTCTAGGAGCCAGCCAAGACTTTGCTGATTACACAGCAGAGGGTCAGAAGGGTACTGGGTAGAGGATGTGATGGAATCCTGGGAACGGCAATGAGCTAGGTCAAGTGCTACAGGTTAAGCCCACAGACCCCAGCAGTCAGCACACATGGACCTGGTGGGCTACATTGTGGAATAAACAAAGGAGGGCTGGCGGGGCGCTGTGGTGCATGCCTACCATCTCAGATGCTCGGGAGGCTGAGGCAGGAGGATGAGAGTTCAAAGCCAGCCTCAGCAAAAGCAAGGCGCTAAGCAACTCAGTGAGACCCTGTCTCTAAATAAAACACAAAGTAGGGCTGGGGATGTGGCTCAGTCGTCAAGTGGTCCTGAGTTCAATCCCAGGTACCTCCCCCAAAGGAAGACTGGCAAGAAGTCCAAAAGCAACAACCGCAGAAGTCCCTGGGTCTTTTCTCCTACCTTTACACCATCGAAGATCAATAAAAACCACCTGAAACTCTCTTATTGAAGTGGCTTCCCCCTAGTGGTCATCGACCACATATTTATAAAGCAAAGACTGGTGAGTGTGCATTGAATGAATGAATGAATGGTCAGAGCTACAATGGATCACTCGGGGGAAAGCTGATGATGCTTTCAGTAAACAGGCAAAAATAGCACCCACAAGGACTACAAAATAAGGCACAGGATCCACAAAGCCATAATAAAAGTCTTTGGACTGCGGGGAGGGCGCCAGGAGAGGAAATGGCAGACGTGGGATGCAGTTTCTGCCACTAGCTGTACCCTTTCTAGTCCATCTCACCCTGTTCTAAGCAAACTTTAGGGTTCCCAGAGCAGGGAAGACAGCAGAGACAAACTCCCAGGAGAGGCAGGAAGTGGAAAAGAAAAGTGGGGAGGGGGCTCCTGGACAACCCATGTTCAGGGGGGCTATATTCAAAGTGTTCAGTCTGTTCAAAGAACGTGTTTACAAAGACCTGCATGGTTCTTCTTCCTTGCCTTAGACCTTCTGCATGGGCACTCCTTCATGGTCAGGGCAATGCCCAGCTACAGCCTTGCAATGTGTCCTCGCTGGTTGCCTCTCCAAATTCCACTGCTCCATTGCTCCTTCCCCCAAACCACCTGATAGGCTTGAGAATAGTCTAAGCTAGGGATGGAACATGTGAGCATTTCCTGGGGCCACCTTAACGATGGACTAGGCCATCCAGCAACGATATAATCAGAAATTTTTCTAGGAATTTTTAGGCAAGAACTTAAAGCCATGTTGGGACCATAAGGAGCCATGTCCTCCCTGAGGACAGGACACTTGGCTTCTGCTTCTGGCAAAAGGGAGATAACAATTCCAAGAACTAGTGTGGAGAGTTCCTCTGAACATGATACTGAAATCAGTTTCAAGAAACTTGCATGCCTGGGTTCTAAATTGTGCCTTCTGAAGATCATGGCATGACACTGGCCCACCCCCTCCTTCAGCCTAATATTCTCTTTTGAAGCTAAGTCTCCCAGCTTTTCTGAAGTTTGCACGTATACCCTGGTTTCCAGAACCTCCTCTACTTGGATGTTGTCGGTTTCAGGGCCACTCTAGTTGGTGCATGTCTCCCTTCAAGTATTGCTCGAGTCTGAGGCTGAGTGCAGGGACTCGGTCCCTGTATTTCGGTCACTAGTGCTCTTTCTGAGCGGCCCTGCTCAACGCGAGCTCCTGCCTCAGTGCAGGTGTTGAAACTCTCGTGGCAGTTTAGACCATCGCTGCAAATAGTGACGATTTGTCACGTGCACGGAGAAAAGAATGAGCATGGGCTTCGACCTCTAAAGAGAAAGGACTGGAGGCGGAAGGAAGAGAAGCAGAAAGGAGGAGATGAGGACAGGAGAGAGAGGAAGCACGGGAAGAACCGGGGCTGGGCGTGCAAAGACTCTTCCACCAGAAGCCCACGCTCCATGAGTTTCCTCTCTCCAGTGCATTTTCCTGGTCACACAGGGTGACAACAGCAAGCACACGTGCACACACACTATGGCCTCGGCCTACCCTGCATCCCTTTCTGACGACTCCCCTTGTCATTCTCCTCCCCTGATTCAAACATGCAGGAGACGCCTCTGTCCCCGTCCTCAGCCCTCAGCCTTTGGCAACGGGCTTCTCTGCTGCTCCTCCAGGACCTGCATTTGCCAGTGTCATTGATGGTCTCACTTTTTCTGAGTCTAGTTGAAAGAGTTTAGGGCTCTGATCCTGTTTGCTCCTGTGGCACTGATGAGCAGTCCCCTCTCCTGAAAACTATCCTCCATTTTGCCTCCTGTGATGCCAACTTTCCTAGTTCAGCCTCCACTGTTGGGCACTCCTCTTCCATTGACTTATCACAACTCTTCAGGTTTCTCTTAGAATTTGTTCCTCAGCTGTCTTCTTCCTTGGCTTCTCTCCAGTCTCTCTGAAAACCGAGGTCATGTCTGCAGCTTCAACTTCAATATAGATGACCACTTTCATGCCTTGGTGCTATCCTTGGTCCAACCAGGACATGAAAGTGCCTTGGGTGCATTCACATACCATATCAAACTTTGAGGTTACAGACTATAAGGCCCCAACAAAACCCAAGTTCAAGGTCAATCTTTAAACAGTGCCAGTGCAGAGGGCTTGCTGACCTCTGCACCGTCAACGAATATTCAAATACAAATTGGCAGCATATTCAGAGATGTCAAAAAGAGACTAGAGATTAGGGCCATGAAATCCCAGATAATAGGAAGGGTCTCAGTACTGTGGACACTGGCTATAAGTAAGGACTGTGGAAATAACTTCAGGATAGTCTAGCAAGGTGGCTGAAAATGTGCCTTAGAGGTTTTTTAGATTCTTGCCTCAGGCCAGGGAAATTCAAGGTGCATGCCACTGCAGCGAAACAGCTGGATTCTGTAGCCACAGTTAAGAGGCTGAGGGCCAGTCATTAACAGTTTGCCTCTGTGAAGTTCCAACGGTAGGATTTTACATTTTACATTGGTCCTCGTTAAATTTTATCTTGCTAGGTTCTGCCTAGTGTTTTGGATGTCAAAATAATTTCGAATCTCAGTTCCTGCATCTGTCACATTATCTCCTCATGCTCTCAGCTTGTATCATCGGCAAATTTTATGTGGACTTCTCCATCCTTAGCCAAGCAATTGATAAAATATTGAAGCCAGCCAAGAGAGCCGAGCCAGGTTAACACTTCTCTCCCGTGGTCAGTGGAGTTGACAGCAACTTATTAATCCACACTCTTTTAGAAGTGGTTGTTCAACCAGCTGCAATTTCACCTGATTGTCCCAACGCTCAGCTAATATTTCAGTATTGTGTCTACCAGACTATCATCCATCTCTGGCAAATGCTCTGTTGAAATCAAGGCGGATTTTTGTGAAGAATTTCCCCAGTTTTTTTCCCTGCTTCACCAAACATGGCGTGTAATAAAGAAAAAAAAGAGGATGGTTATGAGGTTTGGCATAACTTTTCCTAATGAGTCACTGCTTCCTGTTCTCAGTGCTCACAAGCCATCTGCTTAATATTCTATTTTAGAAACTTTCCCTGGAATGAAATCTGATTTGCCATGTGTAGTTTGCAGAATTCCTCTTTTTCTAAAACCGGGAATGCATTTGCTCACCCCCCCCCCCCCACCTCCTGGCCCTCCTTCGACTTCTCTGGGACCACATGGGTGGGAGATTTCCAAAAGGGACCCTGAACTTGCATGCAGGTTTGTTGCCTTACCTCTAATAAACTGAAGTTATCTGACCACCCCAAATCCTCTTAGTATTTTCATGCCTATCTTCAGCTTTTCTTTCTACCTGATGGTGAAAATCTAAAACTAGCCAGTCTTACCACCATTCTTTTTGGCGGAGATGATAGAAGCAAATGTGTCTCTCCTTCAAAGCTTGTATCTGCTCCGAGCAACTGGACTTAGTCCAGCCTATTGGCTCTGAACATCATGCGTACCCTTCTGTCCTCATCCATTTATTCAGATCTCGGCTAAGTCTGAGCTGAAGTCCTCAACCGTGTTTTGCACGCTCGCTCTGGTTGCTCAATCTACTTCCCATGGAAGTTCATTTTAACTGTGATTTCATTCTAAGGCTCTCTATGTTGCCACACCAATCCCCGGACCTCAGCTCCTCTGAATGCCGTAAGTCCTTCTTTAGAGACCCCTTGCCTTCCTGAAACAACATGACAGCATTGGCCTAATACCCATGACCTTGCTTTATTTTCTTGGGTCTCCTGCCATCCAAAGAGAGTGACAGACTTGCCAGGAATCTGCTGGACTTACATGTGCGGAGGTGTGACAAGATAAAGAGCAGTTGCACATTATGCCCAAGATGTTCTTCAGTGGTAAGCAATATCTCTTGGCTTAAACCCTTTCCAATGGAATCTTCTCAAATTCCTTTCCAGATTTCAACCCCAATCCATCTCCAGAGTGGAAATTTACAGGACTGTTGCCTAGCTACTGTATTTTCAGGTGTTTCTACTCATTATAAATCATTAGCCTGAGGAAAGAATACCATTCCTGGGGTGAGACAAAATGACTCTGACATAGTCCATTTAATTGAGAACTCTGCCCACTTGTTCCTACTCAAACTAGGTTCTTGGCTCACCTGCGTGTTGTGATCTCAAGAGCAAAGAATCTGGACAGTCTCCTTCTCTTTATCTAGCCTGATCTTCCTCACCTCACTGACGCACATGGCCTGCTAAGTCTATGTATTTAATACCTTCAATTTCTCCAAACACAATATATATATTCCTGAGCACATAAAAACATAGCACTTTAACTTTATGAACTCTCCAAATGAATTTTGTGTCTTAAATATTGACTTAATTCCTTTCTTCAGTTTGTTAGATTTTTCTTCTATCAATACCACCCCTCATATCAAGTTTGAGCCAGATTGGGAAGTCTGAGAGAATATATTTCCCAGAATATTCTTTCTTAACGAAGGGTAATTTTTTTCCCCAAAACTCTCTGATATCTGATTGTAGGTATTTGCCTTTGCTCGTGTTTTCTAAGACACCCTTGTGATGTGGAAAAATGAATGTATTTTATCTGGCTTATCAACTGGGCTTCTGCAATCACTCTCCTGACCTTTCCTGCAGATATGGAGTTTGTGAGCCCCTCCACCCACTTAATCTCCTGAGCCCCATTCCTTAAAATAAATCACTTCAGAGAAAGAGATAGACGGAGATAAAATCTCCTGCTGATTCTATTTCTCTGGAGAGCACTGACGGATACCGATTCCAGTATAGCCAGAGCTCTAGAGCCTCGTAGAAAAGATTTACCTCTGTCAATATCTTAGAAAAATCAAAAATTCCTGAAGAATTAAAGCAAATCTTATTTTCTACCAGAAGATGGACCAAAACTGCACATGAACGCAGAGAGAAGGCTCGCTGGGAATTCCAAAGATGCCACCTCGAGAAAAAGGCCACGGTCCATGAAAAACTCCCTTGGAGCTGGGTTGGCATCATCTGAAGGAGCAGTGGGACTTCTGAGGAGAGACTAGAGGGTCCACTCAATCAGGGTAGAAGGCCCCGGGAGCTGGGTCCTCTCAGCAGAAGCACCTTACAGGGATGATCTGAGGGGGCCTCAGGGTTGCATTCAGAACTGAAGAAGAAAGAGACTGAAAGCACCAAGGAGTGGGAGAAATGGCCCCAGGGTGGACGGGCCTCCACTGTGGGCAGCAGGAAGGAAGCCAGGAGGCATCCTGAGAGAGGACCAGAGACTACTTTCAAATGTACAGAACCCTACCCTTCTGCCCCACTCTTAATTTCCCCCATCATCCCAGATGCAAAACATCTTATAAAAATATTATATAAAGCATATAATATAGTTATATAATTTGTAGTTATATAATAAGAATATAGTTATGAACTATTAATTAATATAATAAAAAACCTGTAGATTATAATTCCCAACCTATTTTACTGCACCCATGTCAATTTCATTGCAACATTCACAGAACTGAAAACTCGGGACTTAGTGGATTATCATAAAGGAGACACCAACCCAGGATAAACCAGGTCCAGGATAAACGTGGTCCAGCCTGGGCAAGCCTGAGCCTGCCTTTAACAGGTTGTGACAACTACAATTGGGGCAGGAGATGGGGCAGGAGCTGATGGGTGCCTTTGACACCACAAGTTTAGTTCAAATTTTCAATTTTAGAAACAGGAACTATTTGAGATCGTCTGTCTTTAGAAATATTTTCAAATTCAAAATAATAAATTTAAAATCACTTGGTTTAACTTTCTGGCTTTAACTAAACTCATTTCCATACTTTTCTCACTGACTTATGATGCTAATAATTCTATTTACCCAAGCTTTTCCAATTCCATTTTGAAAATTATACAAACATACTTCCAATTTTAATTCTTCTTTCTTCTGTAGACTTTTTAAAAACAAAATTAACATTCATTCCAATTTTATCATGCTTTACTTCACTAACAGTTGAGATAACTCTCATTCAAATATTTATTTGTAGAGATGTTTATGAGCCACTTACTGTCCATGATCTGCATCAGGTATTGGACAAAACTATTTATCTTTCCCTGGTCTCTTTATTAGAATCTATCCTTAAAGGCCAAAAGAAACCATCTTTAATCCTTAGGAAACACGGACATCAACTGCCTTTGAATCAGATTATCCCTACTGTTATGAAAATGCATTTTTTAAAAATTTTTAACCAAGATGCCACATACCTACTTGGCATCATGCACAAAATGATGGTTTGACCACGTAACTCCACTCTAAAGTGACTTTGCAAACCTTCAGACTCTCCCTTCCTCCCTTTGTTCTTTATCTCCTTTATCATTTGGGTTTGGAACAGTCTTTTCGTGGGTCTTTCTTACACTTTGACGCCTTCTTTTCCCCACGCTCCTCCCCAAGATCCTCTGAACTGTGTGTGATGTGACGCTCTGCACTCCCGAAGGCTCACTGGCCTTTCCTTTGTGAGCCGCTGCACATGGCCACCCACAGGGCTGTTTGACAAAGCTATCACTTTCTGCCATACTGTCCTGGAGACCCAGCCTTCCGCTCAGCTGACCCCAGTGTGCTCACCCACCTCCACTGTGCCTGCCCTGGGAATGGCCTCCTCCTCATCCAGCTGCATGAGGCCATGTCGCCCGCCCCCCCAGCGCCCCCATGGAGACTTCCACGTTCCCAGAAGCAGGTCTCCGGCAGCCCACCTGCCTATCATATACTGCCTCCTTGAGCTGGGCCTTCACCCTGAGGCTGGCCTTCCTAGTGTGAGGGTAGTTAAGAGTTTGCTAAGGTCTTGCGGTCTAATCCACATAGCTAAAGGGCCTGTAACTTTCTCTGAAATAAAGTGGGAAATTCTCATTTTACTACAGACTTTGCCATTTCCCCCTTTCCACACATTTTATGAAAATCCCTTGGGGAACCTTCCTTGCACCGGGCAGTCAGCCCATCTGCTGGAGGAGCAAGCCTCTTCCAGGAGCTTCCAACCATCCAGATGTTTCCAGATGATTTCCCGGTAAACCCTTAATTTCTTCTGCTGTCAGAACCGTTTAAGGGACCCCAGAGCCTGCCCACGCCTTTCTGCTTCCTGTTTTCTGATCTTTATTTCTTGTTTTTATTTACTTGACATCCATTTTTGGGGTTCTCAACTGTTTTGATCACAGATCAGGTAAATATTTATCGTGTGATCTTAGGGGATACTGTACATCAGAGTGCCCCTAGGGCATAAGGTTTATTTCACAATCTGTTATCATCATATTTATCTTCGAACCTCTGCTACTTGTGGAATTTCCTGTTGCGAAAAATTTTTTTTCTTAAAAAAATCTGAAGCATCTTTTTAGTGGTTTTGCTTCCATCTTATTTCAATTACCCTTTTTCTACTCTTCCTCATCTTCATCATCTCAATAGCATGTGGGTTGCTGTAGCCACAAGCATGAATTTGAACCCTAGTTCTGACTCTTACCAGCTTGGGACCCAGAGTAACCTCTGAGTTTCAGCTTTCTCATGGAAAAAGTGGGGATCATGATAGTACTTACCTCAGGGAGACCTTTGGGGAAGATCAAGTGAATTCGTATGTGTAAAATGCTTCACAGAGGGCACTGGACATGCTCAGTAATGTTCATTATTATTGTTATCTTCAATATCTCTTGTAACTCCCATTCATACTAAAATCTAACCATAGCTTATGCTTTTAAAACTGCCTTTGAATTACATTTTATATGTAAAACGTGGTCTTTATCTGCCTGAAACTCCCAAAAATATTCCAAGGAAAAATCACTACTAGGAGAGCCTGAAGACTACATTTTCTCTCTTTATGCTTCTATAAGGAAGGTCATTGTGCTCACGTAACAGCACAATAGCGCTTCCATTCAGTGTTGTTCTCTGCCTATTTTTAAATACATAGTTACACAAAACTACTTACATAATAAATCTTTCTATAAGTTGACAGCGTCACAATAAGGATTAGGGACAATGGGAGTTTAAGAAGGTTAAGCTGTAAGCTCATGTATTAACCTTAAGAAGAGCATCATGGAGCCCATGAATTCATCCTGGGTACCACTGACAGACAGGATGCTGAAATGATTATACACTTCATCCAGTTGGGACATCCCAGCATTCCTATGCCCATAAGTGTTTACATCTTGTGAAGAAAGACAGTTTCATCACTGCCTTTGTGTCTTAATATTAAATATCACCGGTAGTTTTGTCATCTCCTTCTACCATCTTACATAATTACTGACTCCTCCAAACTGCCTTTTTCTTTAAACTTTGAGGATAAAAACTTAATCTCACATTGTCCAGATATGTTCGGTAGTAACTTGGGGTTCAAGGCCCTCCACTTGGTGTCCAACACCAGGCATCTTGCAGCCTAACGTCTTAAGATTTCTTGCACTTCTGCACATGAGAGAAAGACATCACCGGTAAGTCTCATATATCCAATTTCTTCTCACGTGTTAAATGGATGCTTCATTGTTTTCTAACTTACTGGGCATAAGAATCAATGTGCAGCTTGTTCTTGCAGGTTCTTGGTCCTACGGCAATCGGAGAATCAGCTGGGTTTATTCAGCACTGCATAGGAATCTGATTCGAGTGGCCCAGGAAGGACCACACACTTTCATAAACTCTTCCTTAGGTAAATAGGCCAGTCTGTCATGTTCTCGCTGGTATAGGTATGCATGTAAGTACCCAACTCTGACCTCTCCTCCCAACTCCACATTCGTCCATCTCCAGACACAGCTCACGTGAAGCACGTCCGGAGCTGCACCCACCACCACTGTCCTCTCATCCATCGTCGTGACCATCCATCCATCACCCAAGCTGAAATCTCAGAAATCATCTCACCTGTCTCCATCTCCCTCTCTTCCAACTGCCAATCAAACTAGTGCCACTGACTTTAGCTCCCAAAGTCCCTTGAATCAGCCCTCTCTGCGTCTCTATGGAGGTTACCTCATTCCAGGTCCACACTGCTCTTTCGATTCATTGTGATCTCATCTGATTGATGACAATAGGCAGCTGACGGCTCTCAAGCTCTTCATATAAATGTTTCCATGGATGCTGGAGTGATTTTCCTAATAATACAGCTGTGATCATATGACCAGCTCTGCTTTGGGGATAAGGTCCCAAGTCCGTGGGACAACACTAAAGGCCTTCACGGGCCTCGCGTTACTCTGAACCTCCTTCACCCAGTTTCCTACCCATCCTTCCCAAGACCCACTGTTCCCACCATCCCCTTTGAACCTAGAGCTGCAGCCACACTGAATCACCAGGCACCATTGAAGATGCCAGCCTATTATACGGTCCTTTAACTCCTTATTCCAGAAAAGCTTCCCAACTCATTTGTCCAGAACACTTCTCCTCACATTTCAGAACCCTGTCCAATCGTCTTTTCTGCAAAAATTTGTATGAGAATTATAAAAAAGATTTAAAGTACAATTGGCCCCTTTAAAGCAGAAAGAGCAGAGAAACTTATGAAGAATGGGGGGAAAATCATTGCTATTTATGGGAAAAGATTGAGCAGATGACCTTTTGAATTCGTCAAACCTAAGAGAGGTGGCTATGAAAACACATTCCCCAGGAAATGCTGGACTTAAATTACTCTTTAAAAGGATGGGCTTCCAATTGTAGCCATCCTAGAGCAATTGAGGTTAAACTTATCCTTCCTCTGTAAACAACTAGAAAACTGGAAAAGGCATGTGAAACAACTGTTTTCAGATATTGGGCAACTGGCAGTGACAGACGGTGAGTGCTACAAGGAAGGACTGCCCTGGCTTCTCCTGGAGAAACTCTGGATGCCAGGAGAGGAAAGGAAATTCCAAAGAGAGCAGAGGGTCTTCGTAGAGGAGACAGAAATCAGAGTAGGGGGAAGCAGCTGGGACTATGGACATGAATACAGAAAGACAGGAGCTGGCAGAGGGAGAGAGAGAATGGCAGATGTCTTCAAAGAGTCCTCCTGAGTCCATGCATGAATACTAAGCTGCCCATGCAAAGGGTGAGATTCCACAAGGCTGGATGACAATGACCAGAACTATAATCTGGACATTTTCCTTTGCACACAGAAGGCAGGAGATACAAAGGAGACGCTAGGTGAACACCACTTGCGTTCAGTTGGCAGGAAACCCAAGAACAGTAGAAAAACTAATCCTATGTTAAAGACTAAAGTTATCTAATAAGATTTAAAATCAAGACCTTAAGCTGGATGCGATGGCATACACCCGGAGTCCCAGCAACAAGGGACGCTGAAGTGGGAGAATCACTTTAGACCAGCAGTTCCAGGACAGCCTGGGTAGCCCAGCGAGACCCCCATCTCAAAATAAAAGAAAGAAAGGAAAATGAAAAAAGAAGAAGAAAAGCGAGAAACCAGGGCACCCACGACCCCTCCTCAGGTTTCATCAATTTGCTTGAGGACTCACAGAACTCAGGAAAACACAGTCAGTGGTTTATTAAAGAGGACATTCACAGGACACCAAGGATGAGGAGAAGCAGTGGCGAGGTGGAGGGGAAGGGCAGGTGCCCACCCTCCGGGAACCTCCACGGGTTCAACCATCTGGAGGCTCCTAACCCCATGCTTTGGGGGGGTGTTTTGAGACTTTATTGAGTAGTCACGATTGCTCATAGACGGAGTGGGGAAGCCCTGCACAGCCCGTCCATTCAGATTCTTCTTGGCCTCTCTCCGCAGCATTCCTTCCTCTAAGGAAAGAGGCAGGACTCATTCTGAAGTGGACATCTTATCACCAGTTCATTTATAGCCATGTCCAAGATAGAGA